CCGTTAATAGACCCTGGCCCCACTCCTCGCTGCCGGCGGGGAAGAGCAGCCGCTTTGTTTTATTAATTACCTGAGTCGGGGGGGGCGGATTAAGCAGGGAGGAGAAGGACTTTGTTTGGAGCTGGCTTAGACTATTGAGCTCAGCGCTGAGAAGCGGCGCGGTAATTCAGTGTGACAGGCCCAACGTGGGAAAGGTCCCTGGGACGTGAGCGGGTCCCCAAATGAAACCGGTGCCCAGTGGGGCCAGGCCAGCTCGGCCACGAGGAGAGGGTGGCTAACAGCATCCCATGCCACGGGGCAGAGGGGCTGCGACCTGCCGGCACCTCCTGCCTGCAGACCAGCATCCCTGTGTCCCACGAACCTGCCCTTTTCCTCCCAACGATGAGTGTAACCTTCAGGTCGCAGCTGGGGAAACTGAGGCACAGCCAGACTGAGTGATCAGCTTGAAAGCCCCACCAGCACCTCGTATTGCCTGCAGCAAAGCCAAAAGCAGCCTCTAGCTTTGCCAGGGCTCTGGAGCAGAGCCCAGGAATATTATTTAAAATCAATTTGTTTGGGAACAGCTTCCCTGCTTGGTGAGGCGTGCCATCGGGGTCCGCAGCCGTGCAGCGATGGTTGCTCTGTCCTGTAAGCCCTCCAACAGGTCGCTGCTGCTGGAGCACGGGCTGGCCCGCGGCCGGCACGCTCCATCTCTCTACCTGTGACTTTGCATCCGGCTGCCTGATTAGCGCTGCTCCTGTTTCATGCTCGGGATTTTCAAAGCTGAACCTCACAACTTCGAAACTGAGCATGTTGCAGCCCAAATCGATACCAGATCTCCGACTAATTTACAGCTGATGGGGAATTTTCTGCTGTAACAGTTTTCTGGCAGAAACTTGGCTCCCACAGAAAGCAAAGTTTGCGATGGGAACTTCGTGTTTTGCAGAAATATTTTGCTCTCCTTTGTTAACGAGCACACTAAGCATCAGCTTCGTTTGGAAGACACTGAGAGGAGACGCTGCTGCTTGCTGGAGTGCCTCCAGCCGTTGTGTTCTGTGCAGAGCAGGAGGCATTGACGGGTTTGTCTAATTAGGGACAAAACTAACTGTTGAAACTTTATCATTTCTTTTAAATGAGTTCTGACTTGCTTAAGTCAGAGTGGTCCCAAAATGGTCCTGTGGGGACCATCACATGAGCTACAGAGAGGGACCTCCACGTACAGACCAGTTTCCACCAAGGTGCTTTAAAATCTGATTATTCACAAGTTTGTTTTTTTTTTTTACTTTTAACCCAGGAGCAGAGCTGGTTTTGGGCTGGGCCAGCGCGGGCAGAGGAGCCACCAACCCAAGGCAGGTCTTGGCAGAGGAAGGAGAGGGGAATCAGTTCGGAAACTGTTTTGCGAGTGTAAATGTGCTGGTAATGATTAAGTCAACACATGTCTATGGTTAATGATCCCAGGTCTACGGTCGTTTTGGTGCTGCGCGAGTGGCCTGTGCAACCACTCCGAAGAGCCCAGCCCTCCCACTGCAAA